CCATCTTTTATCTAAAATAATATACAGTCAATGATTATGAATTTTTACTGAAGTATATTTTATTTTGTTAGAAAATTTAATTTGTATTTTGTTTCATTTTGCATACAAAATTGGATGTTATCATATCGTTCTATTGTTTTTAAAAGAATATTTTTTAGTCTTTTTAGATAATTTTCATAATTTATAAAATCATTAAGAACCAAGCACTTAAAAGATATACCTATTAAAAATATCTGTAATTTTTATTTATTTATGTATTTGCATATTTTAAAATTAATTCATCACATTCGTATGATATTTATGTAGTAATAGGTATGTTACGGAATTTCGTGACAGTGTCTGCAAACATTTTACCCTATTATAAAAGTTTGTCTTGATAAAAATCATCACGCAAAGTAATATTCTTTTTCTTTTTTTTTAGTCTAATTATTAATAATTATAAATGTAAATTAATAGTTCATTTTTAGTGTTTTGTTTTGTCCGCACAATTTTAAATTTTTATATTATTTACTTGAAGATAGAATCTCAAATAATTTTGAATATCATAATTCTGTGCCTTTTCTAATTAAGTTTTTATTTTTATAATAACTAATTATATTAATATTAATTTAATATAAGCAACTATCAATTTTTTTTAGATTTATTACGTATTGGGGTTATCTATAGGTTTGTTGTTGTTAACCTCATTTATATCGCGTGTGTGTGTAAACTATCTATGGTATAACTATATTATAATTAAGTTTTTTCAGAAAATAAGTTTATTATCCAAGAATTTGATTAAAAGCTTAAAAGTACAAAGGTACCCCATGTGTGTGTTCTTTAAGATTTCAATAAATTACCAATTCAAATAAAATGGAATAGGGATTTTAAGTACTATAAAATGTATTAATTAATTTATAATAATTCGGCTACTATAGTTTTATGGTAAATTTAGAATTAACAAAAGGTAAAGGTTAAATTATTTTAATCGATATAAACACAAAATAAATTTAATAATGAATATTTTGGATCAAATTTTTTACCTACCAGAAACATACAAATATACAATTTAACCAATTGACGAAGTATGTAAATATTAAACTACTTAAACTACCTTTAAACAAGTGTACTAAACCTTTTAAACCTATATGCTTCTTCAATTTTCAAATATGTAAATCTGATTAGGAGATTATGTTGACTATATTGTATATAGTTTATATTTTATAGCATTATAAATGTATTCCCAATATGGTTTAAAATATTGATAATGAATTATTTAAATTGTAAAACATAAATTAATAAAATCTGCTTAAATCGTTTTCCTAAATAACATATTTCTTTTTTTACTTTAATTTAGAAACAATATTTTATCTTTTAAAACATTAAAAATACGATTTGTATTATGTAGTGCTCTATTGATGATAATATGCGTCATTATAACTTGACAGAAATATATGGTTTATTAGGTTTTTTTCATTACAGCTCTTAACTGGTTATATAAAAAAGTGTGTTTCAATATTAGAAACTAAACGTCATTATATTTTAAGTGTTTTATTATTGTTGTATAGACCTTGGTTTAAATTGATAAATATAAGCACGATCAAATAAAAATTTTCAATTGTGTATTTAAATTAAGATAATGAAGCAATTTTATTTATTCGAAATGCACTAATTATCTGTTTCAATGACAATAGATCGATACAAATTTCAAAACCATTATCAATACATCATATCTGATATTAATAATAAACGTTCACGGACTCAGATTTATTACTATTTATTTTTTATTAAATTATAACTTAAGGAAAACGTACATTTTTTAACGAATAACTCTTTAATTCCATATTTTCATGTACAATATACTTTAATTTATACTATAATATTTATTTCGTATTTTAATTTTGTGATATACTATTTTCTTTATCTTCGTAAAGAAAGTTGGCACCAGTGCTCGAGTAGCTAATGCATTACAGATAGTCTAGGACATGTTGGACGAGTAGCCCTATATGGACCGAACAGTAAAGAAGTTACCTACCAGATCGTTTAACTTTTAACCAATAATATGTTTAGAACTTATGGTTTTATTGAGTTAGAACTTGATTTAAATACTTTAAAAATCTCTTTATATTTGTTATTTTAAAAATTGAATAAAACCTGATATAATATGTAGGTGAGGTAACTTATAGAACACAGATATTATTGTTGAGTAAGTATTTAACTTTAATCCCATAGGGATTAATTTGTTGATAGTAAGGGGTTTATGCTTCCATCCTCTTAAAATAAATAATAGGTAATAAATCTTTGTAAGACATTAAATTATATGCCAACTCATCATCTACAGGGTGTTTCACTGTCATTGCCCTCATATAATATATCTGCCCAGCTACTATATAAATTTATTTATTTACTTTCTGCCCTAACATTAAGACTCGTATAAATTTATGTACTTAATAATTTATTAATTTACATAAATTGACCTCTTCAGAATTTTAAATAAAACGTATCTATTGACAAAAGCTTTTGTAATTTAGTTTAGGTAAACAAAATAATACTTTAAAATTATAGTAAATTTAACCCTTGAAAAAAATATTAAAAAAAGTAAAAAAATATCAACGAAAAAACATGCATTAAAACATTTTATATATACTATAAGTCTATTATTATATAGGTAGGTAATACTCAATGATATTAAATTACATTTCTACTTATATTATATAACTTACATTAACTTCTAGTATACGTTAGTTATCGAGTAAAAGATTATTAACTCGTAAAACATGATTGGTTTTACTTTTCTTGAAACTAATAAAATAATATCAGCTTTCAGACTATATATCACATTCTCTATGACAATTTTAAATAAATTATATATTATATATAATTATGAAATATACTGGTTTTATATAATTGGGGGTTTTATTTTTTTTTTTTTGTAAACTTTTAATTAAGCTTATATAGGACTATAATATTGTATAAGTATTAAAAAAATCAATGTATTATACTTCAAAAATTCGAAACCCCATAGCGTGTTTAGTTAAATCGTGTTTATTTCTTAGTTCAATGATGAAATATTTTTAATACATTTTAAAGATAATTTAAAATGGCAATAATATGTATGATGTGCATGAATGGTGGAAACATGTTGATGAATATATATAAGTATCCCCATTTCGTTTGTGGCAGCTAGGCCGGTCACGTAAAACGAGGTTTTTGTGTGAATACTTTCCCCTGCAGGATAATAATATAATATGCTCTTGACTTTACCGTGCTTACTTTTGGATATAGAGCATTAAAAAAATTAAATTAAAATAAGACGCAATATTTTGTATTGTTATGGTACTTAATTTCATCAAGGATTTCAAATATGATTCTGTGATAGGAATCCTGCTAAATTTTATACTATCTATTTATCAAATCGATTAATTTCGAGTGACGCATAAATAAAATATATATATATATATATATATATAGTTAAATTATAGTATTTTAATATCTTGTAAATTGATTGAAAGAATACCTCCTTAAAAATAACAAGTAAGAATTTAGAAATAATGTTTTAAGTATTATATATTGAGGATTTTAAGGTGAAGATTGTTTTTCTTTGATATATTTGTTGTTCTTATTACTAAATCGTATTGTATTATGATATGTTTACTATTTAATAGAACCTTTTGATTTTAATGTTAAGAGTAGACAATTAATTATCAATTCTAAACATTAATAATATCAATTGTTAAAATTAAAATTGATTATATAATATAAGTATATAACCAAAAAGAGAGTTACTGTAATACAATGCTAGAAACGTGAAAGTGAAGCTAATCAGTAAAATAAAAAAATAAAATACTGTTTAAATAATATCTATTAACAATAGTTTAACATTAGACACTTGATTTTCACTTGGGAAATTGTTAAGAACTCTGTATATGGTATAATTTTCATATATCTATTATACAATTATGTTTTACTAATCGTATATCTAACTTAATTTTTTTTACCTTTTCCGGACGTACTTATTTAATTGTTTATCTTTAAAAATTTGTTCCATTTCAATAGTTTTAATGATTTACTTGAAAGAAACTTATTAATAATCATCTTTTTTTGTACACAAGGTCATTGTTTTGCCTAAAGTGTGCATAAATCATTAAACCTAAATCATAGTCTGAGGGGAAGGGAAGGGAAGAATCAAGATGACGACCATATGGTGTGTTGTGAAATTCCTGGGCTACCCACATTTATTGTATCTACCTGGCGTTACAAGCTACTTTCATCTGTTATGCATTTACATATACCTTAATAAAACCCAAGTTTTCAAACTTCAATACATAAATTCATTATTATTTATTATTATGATAAAAATGATTAAATTGTAAATTATAGGATATACTATTTATAATAATACACAATACATTTATACTTTTCGACTCTACGTATTATTTTAAGTATTACATTGGTATTTGGTGATATTTTAGAATAATTTATTATTATGTGCTTATATATGTATAATAAAAGGTAAATAAATATTGGTAATCTAAATATTATCAACTGTCCTTGCATAGTGTTTGAATTAAGACTTTTACTAATTAATTATAATATCATATAGGAAGTAAAAACCAGTATGATCAACTTATGTGTCATCACAAATAATTATAAACAGCTTAGACATTAAAAAAAAATAGTTTAAATGAATAGCATACAATATATAACATATATTGTGATATAAGTTCCAATATTATTATAAACATATTAAGTTTTATATTAAAAACCCCAAAAATCATTTGTATTGGCAACATTTTTGTTTGTAGATAGGTATGTATTTTTTATATAATATTTATTTATACGTTTATTATTATTATAGCTTAAAAATATTCAGTTAAAATGTTATTTTATTTGTAAAAACGTATAGAATAATATAATTACATGTTGCAAATGCTACAATTATGGAAAACGACTATAGATGTCGCTGGTTGTTCTTGTTCGAGGTCCGCGTGGGTTTGCAGTAGGTACTGTTATTAGTTGCCGTGTGTACGTTGAAGTTTGTTGGTGTTTGGTCGTACCATATTTTTTACGTTAAATTTGTATGTGTATTTAGTATACGTTATAGCAGTGTTAAATGAACTATATTTTAGTCCTTTATTGTTCTTTGCAGTTTACGTGCGTTATTTTATTATTATAAATCAAACGTGATCTGTGGTTAAAATTTCATGTTGTTTTTTTATTTTTAATTAATTAAACTTTCTTATATTTGTTCGTATCAACTAATTATTTATATTAAAACGGTACATAAGACTGTTATTACTTGTTATAAATCATCAATAATTCATATTTCTATACATAATAAACAACACTCGTTGGCTTATATGAATTACTTTTATGTTAACTGAATATATCAAATTATGTATATAGCTAGTAATAGCATTTATAACTATTGCTTAAATTTGGAAAACTATTCCCCTTTAGCTATTTTATTCCAATTGTTGATTTTAAATTTTATTTTGTTTTCCATTGTATGGTAAATAATATTTTTATTTATTGTATAGATTTGATTATTCTTTACATATATGCAATATGCGTTAACTATAGTGTCGTTAACATCTGGTTTAGTTTATTGGTAACAAATAACAATACTTTTTCACCGTATAAAGGCGGGAAAATAACATGTCCCTTCTGATTTTAATATTTTTCCCCCAGAAATACGACCCTTCTTAATACCCCGGATTGGTATCGTATAAATAAATGTGGGTGGTTTAATAGACCGTGTATTATTAATGCAGTATTTGTGATACCAGATTATCCAATTAATTGTTAAAAATTAATCTTTTTAATTTATATTATAAGGTTAGGTTCCTATTGTATATTTTCTTCGTATTTATTTGAAACTAAATTATTTAAAATACCAAAACTAAATTTATATAAAATATGTTGGCTTATATATTTTTCAATCTAAAAATTATCTTAATTTTTATATTTTTAAATATTGGTTACTGCCTACATTATATATTCAATACTTTATATTTAATACTTACAGTAATAAATTGTCGTTTGTGTGCGGGTGTTCGAGATTATACGTGATTTCGTGTCAAAACATTCCTTTCCGTAATAGGCAAGGAATGCAATGTCAAGAACCTGTGACTACTGTAAAACAAATGTAAAGCAACATTATTTTTTAACCTATCATTCATCTTGGTCATATTTGTTATTTCGTCTGGTTTCAAGGAAAAATTGTAGAAAATCAATATCACTTAACGGCACTATGGATAACTATCAATTATTTCATATTATATAGACATAATATACTACTATTTAGGTTTTTATTTCGCAGTTCTTTGATTATTTTTCAATTATATAAAATGTTAGTAATCATACTAAAACTTTGTTAGTAATTAATATGCATAATATATACTCTAGTTTACTACAATTATATCGACCTATAGTACTAAAGTAGTAACGGCTCATTAAATTATATTTCTTCTACGCGTTCATAAAATTGTTACTTTTAAAAATTTCAACTATAACTTGTTATTTATTGTTTCGTATTTCATATTGTTATTATGTAATTAGGTACAAAAACAACCGAGTTAATAAACTGAATAGTTTAATACATGGTTATAAGTTAAAACAATGTACGTCTGTATATATTTTATAAATTTTACTAATCAAAGCGTATATTAGTAATATATTATCTGATATACAACTTTATCTCTGTAGCAAGTGCTTTGATAAATAAATACATAATTAATAGTCACTAGTTGATAAATAATGATATCATTATATATTCAAGAGTCCTTAAATGTTTTGTTTTCTATAATAGATCATGAAATTGCCCTTATACTGCCATTAAACGCATGCTTTTCAACTATTTTTTACTACTCCGACATTCGTCTTAATTTTAGACAATTACCCAATATATTTATATAGTTCTCTCTTCTTATTTCGTCCATGAATTGTTTATATATTATATAGTTAACGAGTCAAACGGATGTATTTTGTCTGAACATTTGATCATCATGTCTGATATACGAAACAGTTTATGGGCACATCCACCTTTACCACCTGGTAAACGAATATTAGATCGTTCAAATTCTGAAGATAGAAAATCAACTTTTGGATTTATACGAAAATTTCCATCCGTCCGCCGCAATAGCAAAAAAGAAAGCATGATGGATACCACTTATGAGAGTTTCGATAGTCTATTCGAAGACAATGATATTGTATTGGTCGAGACCGAATATGTCGAAGATTCCAATAAAAATAAAAGACCATTTACGACAATGTTCAGAAGTCGATCTGATGGAAATTTAGCTGGGTCTTCAAAAAGTAGTTCGATTATGTCTCACGAGTCTGCAGAACCAAAAGGGTTTACCAAATATCTAAGAGCGCTGAGTGGAAGTTGGAAAAATTTGTTAAATAGTAAGTGATAAAAATCAAGATTAAAACAAATCAATTGAATTTATGATAGATTCTTCTAGTTTTTTGAATTTGGTATAATAGTACCTATAATATGCGTTAACCTGTAATAACGTCAAAATGTCAATTGAATAGTTCAAATGAATATTTCACCAGGTATAATACTATATAATGTACACACGTACCTACAATTTAAATAATATACCCGGACGTACGACACATATTCAAATCACATGAATTAAACTCGAGAGCTCAGCTGAAAACAAAAAAATTATACCTAGTTCGATTATACGGAATAGACCATAATAATAATTTATATTATCGTATTTAAACGTGTGTGTTCATTGCTCATTGTCCAAACATACTCGTATTTCCGTCTTTTCTATTCCCCTCGTAACAACCAAGCAATCATTTTAATTGTGAGTAAGCTATACATATTATTTTAAGTATACGATTTCAGATCATTGAATACAGCATTGGTGTTAAGTCATTATAAAAAATTTAATAACACTTTCAACATTATTTTACCATAATGCAGTATTTTAATGTCTAATAAATAAAATTACCGTCGTGTTTTGGTTACTAAAAAGATGAATAAACATAACATTATGCACTCATTCCTTTATGGCATAATATATATTTAAATCTTCAAAACGTATGTATTTTTACATATCTATTTTATTTGGTTTATGAACAATTAAAAACTGGTAATTTTATTATTGTTATGAGTGTTATGACATACATACAAATACAAGTATAATCTAATAGGTACAACTTTTTTTTGTATTTATCAAATATTATTGATATTATTGTTACAGCTACAGTTCAATGGTATTGTTTAGATTGTTAAATCGTTTTCCATAATTATAATATGATCATTAATAACTTTAATGTAATTTATTTTAATGAGCCTTATTATGTCATAATTATTACTAAACTGAAAATAATACACAGGCCGCGCGTGTTTTCATAATATACGATAATTTTACTAAAATTCTTGAATCTTGATGTATGGACATAGAAAATTTTGTTACATAAATAATTGTAGACTTGTAATTAATATTAAGAAGACAATCGCACCTACATGTTGTCTCCGCTATAATATTACAACACCAAATTTACATTCAGTAGAACCAATATTTTGTTATTAGCTTTAATATTTAAGTAAATTGATACGTTACCAAACTTAAAAAATGTTATCTGTGTTTATACGGCTTTTTTTATGGTATTTCAATTTTTAATATGTTATAATTAAGTAAAATATTGCGGTTTAGAAACACTTATTTAAACTCGCTTAAAAATTAAAATACCGTAACTTACAAATTACAGCAAATTTTCTTGTCTCAATATTGATAGTAGAGCAATTCACTTTAATACTAAAACTAACATCATAAAACTTATTTTGCTAAACAAAAATTTGCAATGTTGTATATTAAATTATAATTTTTTAAATTAAAATAAAATTTTCCTAATTTAAATACGCATTTGTTGATTTATGTTTATAGTTCAAATTCTTAATTATTTTCAAAGACATATTAATTAAAAAAATATATTATTTATTGTTTTAATATTTTTTAATATATACTTTAATACGTTTTAATTAAACAGTTAATATTTTTAATTACCAATTGGTAATTAAAATTGGTTTTCAAAGTAATTGTTACTATCATTAAGTATATAATTAAAATATATAGTTAATCTTAAACTATACTTGGCCAGTGGTTTGATATTAATAATAATTTTGTCTTTTTACCTATAAATTTCAGATATTTGATTTATACTAATAACTTTAGTCAGTTATAATATTTATTTACCTATTTATTAATTAAATTATTCCTTAATTTTCTAAATGTTTTATTAAAAGACAGCTAATTTCTAAAATATAATATTTGTATACTCTGTTATATATCATAGATTAATTAACATTTTTGTTGCCATATTTTTTTTATTGATGATTGTTTTAGTATGTTAAATATAAATTTAAGCCTTATTATACCGAACGATATGGATTTAACTACCACTATACTTAATATTCACTTTATTTTTTCATTTAAATTTTCAACTTAAGATGGAGTTTGTTTAAAATAGAAACATATTTTTTTTATTAAATTTATCAGTATAAAATTATGTTGTTTTGGATTCAACCTTTAATGAATATATTTTACATATGGAACGTTTTTGGTTTCATAAGTAAAAGAAGTACATTTTTATTAAGCATCTACTTACCACGTGTCACCCTTCATTTTAAAACCAAAATTAACATCTGTTTTGTATAATGTTTAACGCAGGATACTATTATGGATGTATACACTAAAAGTTTAAGGTCTTGTCTCTTATCAAGCATTAATAGTTACCAGAATGTACTTTATATTAAAATTTATATTTATAGATATTTAATGTAGTATAAACTGATCGTTAAAAACACTATTTAAATAGTATTCAAAGTATTCATTTATATGCTGATTGCTTAGCTTTTTTTTCCTCGTTTATAGTTTTCTACAACTTAATACGTGATTTTAGTTTCATAGTTTGTTATTATTTTGCATTAGTGCATATTACAATTTATCAGACTTCATTATAAAAAAAAAATATATTGACAGAAAATTATATATTGCTTCCCACGTATGTTTTTGTTCTTTTACAAAGGTGCAACACCTACATTTTAGTTGTATTCGCAACCACGCAAATTTCCAATTTAAGAAAACTGGTTTTATTTATTTTATTTTATTATATATTATATTACACATTTATACGATATAGGTGTTGCATGTGTTCGAATCTATTTAGAAAATCAAATCGAGGTCATTAAACATAGTATTTAAGTGTTATTTTCAAAAATATGTTGATCTAATAAATTTACCCATTTATTATAATTTTGAATTACAGTACACATTATCTACCTACTTATAATTACGCAAAATATAAATTATATATTATTTTTAAACAAAAATTAATTTACTATTACATAATGTATTCTTAGCGGTGTAATGTTAAATGTTTAAAACACCAATATGTCCGTTTTTTTCTTCGACAAATATTAGGTACTTATTATTTATATTTCGATTTTGTTTATGTTAAGTCGTAAAATTGTAGAAGTTTTAGATAATAGTTATATACTCAATAAACATACTTCATTTTTCGTAGAATTAATATAATATAAACAAAAATAATAAATAGGATATCTAACATGTTATAATGTTTATACTATTACAATGCAATTATTTAACTGATAAGTTGTGTAATTTTCAATCCAAAGATTAAATATAAGTCATAAAATATTTAATGATTATTATTGATAAATGTATTATTTCTTTTTCTAAATAAAAAATGAAATAACATTATTGTTTATGCATACATATAAATCAAGGTTTTCTGCTAATGTGAATAGTGATTTTTTACATTCTTGAACTACCCTCCAAAAGCTTTTGACTTCGTTTTATGAAGTTCGACTACATAACTCCCCTGACAAGTGTTCGAGTTTCAAATAAGTAGTTGCTGGCTTTTGTAAAATCAGAGCCATTGTTTAATAGGATGCTGAACCTTTTAAAATCTTTTATAACTTTAAAGTATATATACATGAAATATGTGTGTTATTATAAAATGTATTTCGTAATAAAATATTTTTAAAAAAACCTATTTAATGTACTGATGTTACAGTTAGCAGTATGAACAAAACTCAGAAAAACGTTCCTCAAGTAAAAAAAGTACCTCCGCCAGCCATTCCAGATTCAATTGCATGTCGACATTCAGGTAGTAGCTTTGGATCTACGGGATATAGTAGCTCCAGTGATGACGCATTTCTAGATCCAAATACTTGTATAAAACCAGGTAAAATGTATATATTTTTTATATATTAATATTCAATTATCTGTATGGATATTTTTTTAATATACATATCCCGGTGTATAAATTAAACGCACCTACTTAAGAAAATGTCAAAGCAGTAAGCACTATTTGTTTTCAATCTATGTTCCAAGAATAACATAGCAAATTTGTGTTCAGTAGAACCAATCTTGTGTGATTATTAATTAACTTTGCATTAGTGTGACTTATTGACTTATTAGCAGACTTAAAAACAATATTTGTGTTTTACTTTTTTTAATTATTTCAATTTTAATACAAGTATAAACATATTAAATATTACAATTTAAAAATGCTCAAATTTTGGTTTAAAATTTAAATATTGTAAAAAGCAAATGTTTAAACAGATAATGTTCTTAACTTTGAGTCTTATAATAAGTCAATACCCTCTAATATTAAACCTAATTGCACAAAGTTGGTTAGTGCACTTAAATCATAATTTTTGAACTTTTTAGTAATTCTTGAAAAATCATAAAAAGTGGTGAAACTTCTGATGAATTTGTAAAATAAAAAAAATATTAGGATACAAAAAATTAGATATTTGATGTATGCTTTGTTCATCTCTAACATACTATTATGATGTGTTAAATCATCACATTAAAAACACATTCTGTTAATATGTTTTTCAATACTTGTTTATTATAAAGTTTAAAGTTAAAATACAAAATTATTTCAATAAAATGTATGTATATACAAAAAAAAAGCTCTAAAAATATATGAAAAGGTATGCAAAAAATTATTTTAATTAGCTAAGTTTAAATGAGAATTATTATTATAGATTTACTATTTGTTTTAAATGAAAAATAATGTTATATTTAATATATTCAAATAAATTGTATTCTGTTCATATTTTGATACTTTTTAACTTTTGTTTTTTGAAGCTAAAAATAATTTATTTTGTAATACTAGATATCTATGATGCAGCAGATACTTACTCCCCTATTGGAAATAAATCTCCATCATCACAATTTAATCATCCAGCTTTCACATTTCCGGGATCTACTTCAGTAAATAAAATCAATATTTTTATTTAATTTATAATCCTCAATTTCCATTCTATTTAAATATTATGTTTTTGCTTAGTATTCTCATCCCTGTGGAAATATAAAGATGTATTACCATCAATTATCACTTCAGGAAGATCAAGGAATTGATATGACTCAAAGTCCTGGTCGTGATAGTCCTGGTTCATCTGGTTCTGGTTCAGGATCTCGTCACTCTACAGCAAGTTTAGATAGTGGTCGTGCTTCAGGGTGTCATCTTCGAGGAAACACTCATTGGCATCCAGAACTTAGTCCATCTACTAGAGTAGAAAGACTTCTCAATCAAGGTGTTCCAGTATGTATTTTATTTTTTATAATTTTATTTTTATAAATCACTAATTATGAATTTAATCATAGGATAAAGATATAATGTACAGTTGGTTAGTTGATCTACACCTAGAAGAATATTTACCATTGTTTATATCTGCTGGATATGATATGAGAACAATTTCAAAAATGACACCAGAAGTAAGTTAATTTATATATTTAATATTTCAAACTATTCTAAGTTGAAAATACCAAAAATCATTATAATATTTCTTAAAGAGTTATTGAATATAATATAATAGGCATATTAAAAGTCTAAAATAAATTCAGTGATTATTAATTAACTGTTAATTGTTATAAGTATAATAAAATTATGTATTAATTTTATTTTATTTTTCTTTGGTTACATAAAGGTAAAGATAATCATTTCATTTCATTTTTAATTCTTTATAATATTTGATTATAAATTATAATTAACATTTTTAAACAATTAACTTAAATTAATTTAATATTTTATATTAATAAAACTAATTTAAACATATTGTACTATGTGATATTAAAAATAATGTTAATTGTTAAAAAAAAAAATAACTTCATTGTTTATTTTTTGAATTTTTTTCTTCTTTATTAATAATTGATTTAACACATCTTAAAACATTTAATTACCTATATACTTATATTATTTATATTTTTAACTTATAGGATTTAACTGCTATTGGGGTAAAAAAACCAAATCATAGAAAGAAATTAAAAGCAGAAATTGGCTTATTAAATATATCTGATGGACTATTAGACTATATTCCTGTAAGTATTATTTGTTGTAACTTAGTACCTATATGTTTTATTATTAACATTATGAATACAATTTTTAAGGGATCATTAGATGAATGGCTTAGATTGCTACGACTTGAAGAATATGGATCAGCGTTAGAAGCTCAAGGTTATTCTACAATTGATGATGTAACTCAATTAACATGGGAAGACTTAGAAGATATTGGAATTGTAAAACTTGGACACCAAAAAAGATTATTACTAGCAATAAAACGTGTAAAAGATATTAAGGCTGGCAAATCATTTGTACCTCATTCTCCATATATTATTCAAACTCAAGTGAGTAAAAATTATGAATATTAAAAAATGTATCTAAATTTAAAAAAAATATATAACTTAATTAATCCTTAGAAAAAAAATTCTAACAATTTTTATTTAGCAATTAGTTATGTTACTAGATCAGGGGTCGGCAACCCGTGGCCCGCATGTGGCTCACAAAGCAATTTTTGATGGCCCGCACAAAAGTGGTTAATTTTTGTGTTTTATTTTTGTTCAATAATATTTTTCATATAATTTTCAATATTATATAATTCTTTTTCCTTTATAAATAAAATCTAATCTAACTGTTTTATAATAGTAATACAGTTATAAGTATTATATTATAATAAGTAATTTTTTTTTTTAATGTGGCTCTTGATGAAAAATTGAAAAAAAAATGGCCCGCATAGTTAAAAAGGTTGCCGACCTACACCAGATAGATATCAAAACAAATTTTACTCTTCTTTTCTAGGTTGTTTTATCTTTTTAAATAAAAACAATAATTGGCTTTTAATTAAAAAATAAGTATATTTAAAAATTAACTAATATAATTATTCTAATTAGTTTATATATTATATGGTACATTTTTCAAAATATATTTGATTTTGTCAAAAGTATATTTGTTGATATAATTAACAATGTAATACAGCTATCAAATTTAAAATATTCAATATTACTGTATCTGTTTTTATATCTAATGATATAAAAAAAATTGCCTAGATTACGTGTTCTTAAATATAAATATTTGGAAAACATTGGTTTGTTTTATTTTTAATAATGTAAACGCTGCACTGCATTTCCCACTTTTGTTTTTTAATTTCCCTTAGATTTTTATTTTCTTATACAATTTTTAGTGGCCAACATCTTTTAATTTTATTTATATAGTAAACAATATGGCACTATGAATTATGAAAATAGGGATGTAAGTACTACAAACTATTGCTTGACTCTTTGAATTTTGTTTCTTGTAAAAGCATGTTGTGAATATTATAGTTTGCACGCCTAGATTTTTATTTTTTGTGCTTTAAATTTGCATTTATTATTATTTAAATCGTATATTGCATCCAAAAGGCCTGCATCGAGTCGCCATTAAGCATTGTAAGCAGCAGTTCTGGATGTGGAACAAGTATCACTAACATAAGTTGCGGTACAGGCAGTGTTGAACTTGATTTGCCACGTGTTCATGCCACGTATCACAGCTTTCATCAACCTTGGGAATTAGAAAGTAGCAAACAACTATATTGCCAAACAGATATTGTCCCTATCAAGGTATACATCTATTTTATAAATTATAATTTGCTATCATCATGTCTTGTTGCTTTTTATCAATTTCTGAGCTTTTGTCAATTTACTAAGTCCCCTAGACCTACTCCGGATTCGAACTGGACACTCGAATTTCAGGAATCGGTAAAGAACTATTATTTCCCCCTTTGATTTTTCTTAAATTATATTTTAAGTTAAATTTTTATTTATAGTATTAATTATAATTTTAGCTAAGAGGAACACATCGTGGAAAATCATTAGAAAGTTTGCATGAAAGTATCAATTCAACAACTGGAGGTACAAGTAGCTTTGTTGGTCCACCACAGTGGAGACATCAACAAAAAAGTTTTGAAGATGGTGATTTAACACCAACAAATGAAACGTCTATTATTCATGAATGTGGTGGTACATTACCTAGACCAAGAGGATTAGTTAAGCCAAGATTAGTGGCTAAAGTTCCCGCTTTATTTACTCAACAAAACATGTAAGATAATATTATACTAATTTTTTTTTTTTTTTGTTTTATGTTCACATAAATAAAATAACATGGCTTTTTTCAATTTCAGAGAAGACTGTTCAGGATTAAATACCTTGAAACGTAGGCCACCATCTCCACCTAAACGTCAACAGTCTTGTGAAGATAATAAAAAGTGTCATCAAGTAACTGTTGTTGCTGATCTTCATTGTGTTCCGACATTACAATCTAAATCATTGGGTAAATGGACTACAGACAATATGTCTCCTAAGCATAATTTAGAGGATCATATTGGATCAAATGCAAGCTTTAAAGTAAATTATTACCACTTATAATCAATATAATTCTCAATAAAAAATTATAAATAAATATTGTCTTATAGTCAAATTCAAGTACTGAATCAGATACTATTCCATTTGCCAATGAAAATGCTGGCACAATTAAACAGAGAACAATTAGATCTACAAATGGTTTGTCTATATTTTTTATTTGTTTATTTAAATCAATATAATATTTTTTCTGTGTTCGATTTTAGAATTAATTCAACCTATTCTTGCTGAAGGATCTCATTCTATGCATACAACTTCAAGTTATTCATTACTCTCAACAACAAATCAATTTTCGCTAATGCCTCCAAGGTAAAAATAAATATTGATATTATATAATACCTAGATTATTAAACTTTATTTGATTTTTAAACTAAATGAAACTTAAAGTATTTGGTTCGAGTTTAATATAATTTAAATAGTCTTGTTCAGTTTGAGTATGTTAAATTTAAAATAAATTTGTTTTGTATTTAATTCTTCTTTAAATATCAGAATATATACCACACTAATTATTGTTAATAATAATACATTTAGAACAAAAGTTATTTTGTTTATTCTTTCTGTTATACTATACTAATACATACTTATAAATATTGATTTAGATTTTGATGAAAATATTATTTATATTTAATGTTTGTTTTATATTTTTATTACAGTGGGAAAAAGGAGCCAGCTGATGTACTTAATGATATCGGAAATATGTTAGCCAATTTAACTGATGAATTAGATGCCATGTTAGAAGAAGAAAAAAGACAAGGTCTCAATGATTAAATTAACTAATTTTGTTCCATCCAATGAAAAAGAGACAATTTTTATGTTCCTTTTTTATTTCTGTGAGTTTTAGGATTCCAATCGCAAAAAAAAAATTGTAATCTTATTTACGTCTTACTAAACTGTCAATGTTAGGCTACAAAAAGAAAAACACCAATTTTAATTATATTCAATCCTTACTCCTAGGTTTTAATTTGAGTTTACAATTTTAGCTGAATAGCTGATACTATCTCTACTCATCTATTTAGCTATATATTATAGACTAATATAGATTGGAATCAGCCTTATGAATTATATATATTATTTCAATAATCACAATTAACAATGCCATAACTCAAATTTATTTTTAAAATTTTAAGATATAATATCATATAATTTCTATGCAACTAAAATACTATACTTGTTACTATTAGTGTAGACATATCACCTTAAACGTCTTCCTGTTTTATAATTATTATCAAAAATATAATTTGTTTTTACAATTTTAAAAACTTTACCTAAGTTATATAGAGATATATTATATTATATTTCTAAATTATTATTTGTAGGTAGCTATTTTGATTAGATTATTAATTAATCATAAGTAACTTTATTTTAAAAATGAATATTGTAAAAAATACTTTTAGAAACTACATATTTGACTGATTAGAGAGAGGTGCACAGTTATTAATCTTTGAACCATGAAGATTTATATTATTTAAATAATTAAACAGTGTCCTTGGATAATATTTTATATCTGTTAGTATCAACATAAATAATTTAAAAAACTTTGGTGAAGCTATTTATTTATTTTTATTAGTTAAAAAGTAACTTTTCACTAAAGTTTAGGTGAACCACATATTCACTAAATGAGAATTTTATTTTGATTATTCTTTATGGGCATTTCCATTCCTTAGCTAAAAACTTAAATATTGTATCTACAAGTAATAACGCAGTTACTAGCTTTTTATTTAAGATACACCAAATAAAATCATATTCAATGACCCCTGTAAATGAAGAAGGAAAAACATTGAATATGTAAAATGTTATTTAATGATTAAATAATATTTAGAATCAAACATTTGTATATTATAGTAGTATGTTTATAATATAAACTAATAATAACAATTTTATTATATTTATATACTGGTAGATTTTTATACCACCAATTATTATGTACATTAATAAACAATTTTGAATAATTTATTGTGTTTGTCTTAATTTATTAGCTCCAACCTGTTGTACTTGACTTAGAATTTATATTTGTAGATATTTTGATTGATAGATAAAGTAAAATAATATTAAATACAAATTATGGTTTGTTCTATTCGTGCATATCAATTATATGTCAATGTACTAGAGAAAAAAATACAATAATTCAATTTAATTTTTTTAAATTTTATAAATTTAATAAAATTCATAATACATTGAAATACAATAAAATTAATGATTTGTATTTAATAATATGTGTATTATTCTAGAAAAAACTAATTATAATAAGTTTGAATGACTTTTACCTATGTATTATAGTCAATATTTATATTTTTGTTAGAGAATGTTGTTTTAAAGAAAACATACAAAGTAAATTTTTAAAAATATCTTGATAATGGTTGGCTTTAATGTGTAAGAACTTTTAATCGTTTGTTTCTGTACCAAATGAATAAACACATTTTAAAGTATACCTTATGAGATGCAGAGATGTTATTTTAAGAAACAACTTAAAATGGAGGCCAATATAAAATATTAGACAATCAATATGTGCACATTATATAGGAATTTTGAAAGCAGATTAAGTCACAAAATATATTTTGTTAGGAATTAAGTTAAAATATTATTTAAGAATAAACAAGTAAAATAGTTAAAACGCTTTTAAATTAATAATTAGTCTGATTATTTGGTAACAATGTATCTAATAAATTTATTGTATAAGACTATAAATAATTATAATACTTGATAAATATTTACAGTACCTATATAAAAATACAATCATTTGACAAAAAAGTTATAAGTGGTACCTATTTGTGAATTATTAAGCTTGAAACAAAGTACAAAAGTAATATTTGTTAATTAAACCTTAGTTAAGTAGGTATTTAAAATTAATTGGAAATATTTGACGATAAAAAAAATAACATTATTTGTCGGTTATTTAATTCTTATATTTTAAACAATTTTATAATTACTAATTTTTTTATATTATTGACATTAGAAGCAATTGCTTTTTATAATATAATGTTATAATATTTTACAGTTTCGTCTTTTTTTATTAAACAATATAAATTCTGTAGGTAATTGATTTGACAACAAATAACTTACAAGTAGAATTAATAATTATTCTGGTAAGGATACTTATTAAGCTCATTGTTATAATTATAAGAAAGTGTGTGCACTGAGGATTGTTCTTGAACATTCTCAAAAAATAAAAGCCTATTTATATTTGAGATGAAAAATATTATTGAAAACCTTATTATTATTCTGATAGAAATATGATTAAAATAAATAATATATTGTATATTATTATGAATTTTTCTTATTTTATTTCTTATAATCTGATATCTAATTTGATCATATTTTTGGTATTGGTCATAGTTAAAATACCGAGGTCACTTAGACAATATTTTCATTCATGCATGACATTTAGACAGTTATATTCTTTTAATGCAAGTTAATGTAGGTAATTTAGTTTTATATTAAAATGTTAAAAATATAGTTTTTTATTCACTATTTCAGCGTAACCAATTATTCAAATAATAAGGAAATAGATTGAATTAATAACTATTATAATTTATAACTTAAGTAAATATCGTGTGCTAAATACCGAAATGCAGTTGATTTTGTTCATGCAAAAAAGATTCTTAACGCCTTTTTTAATTTCTAGTAAAAGATTAGTGATTACCATACAAGGTAACAGCAGATTCTCTGTGTTAGGATGTATATTCAACGTTTTATGAAAGAAAAGATCTTAGTCAGACATTCCCTGGTGTAGTAACTGGCTTGTTTATCAGATAGGTAAATGAATCAAGAAATGTTTTTTAATTATTTCAAAATCGAATCAAAGTGATAAGGACCATTTTATATGAACCAAATCAGTAATTTTTCCCCAGAAATCAGCCATAAGCGTTTATTACATAATGCGTATAGGTTCGATAATGATAACTGACAAGTTTAAGACGTTTAAGTAAGCTTTTGAGCTATTTGCGGGAAATTTCTTTGAAAACTTATATTCTTCTATGTGCTTATTTGTTATTAAAAGCAAAATGTAATTAATTCACTTCTAAATAGATTTAAGTTATAACTTATAGGTAGGTACTTATTATTTCATATAATATTAGTAGCTGTTAATAGTTTTTGTCAACACCAACATATTGTAAAATTTCGTGAAAGTTAATCCATTGTATAAATTACCTAAAATAATATTTTCTAAATATACTAAATATTAATGTGTAAGAATGTTAATATTGTACGTAATAGCGTAAAGTTTCAAATCTCTATAAATAATATTTATTGAATTACAACAAAATAACACTAAAATTGATTAAAATCGTTATTTTTCCTTAAGCATTAAATTAATTGCTGAGGTAGATGTTAAACTTTGCGATCCACCGACCTTGATTTGACCTCTAATCTCAATAGTCTATACTCTATACGAATCTCAGTGATCGGTGGGCTGGCTACTATTTTTTTTTGCCAAATGCTGTCGGCTTTGTGATCATAAATAAACTACACGGTTTACCCGCAAGTATAAATTTTTAAAAGGTATTACATTTAACCCACATTTAATAAAAAATAAAAAATAAAAATATTAAAAGTTTAATACAAAGAACTTTTTTTTTTTTTTTTTAACTGCCCATATATCTCCTCCCAACGCAAAAGCTTTCTCTCCTTAATTAATTCTCTAAACATTCCAGCCAACCCTCAATCTATCCTTTCCTGCAATTCTCAATCCGTTATATTATCCTTACTTAATTTATTTAATCAGGCTGGTTTCATAATTTAAATTTAAAGAAATACTGTTTTGTAATCCAATACATATCTATATGTTTGTAATTGTTGAAGCTAATGGTTTTCACCAAGTTTCTTAGTAAAAAAAAAAAAAAAAAAAAAAAAAATACAAAGAATTTTAACTGAAAACTGAACCAAAATACTATATTTAGTTTTCGCGGTAATTATTATTTTGTGTAGGTATTCAAAGTACCGACTCATTAGTAGTTACAACTTACAAATTGTACTGTGGGTCGAAGTTTATGACTACTCGTGAGTATAATGTATAGGTAACTATTTGAGTGATGAGTCGTTGAAATGCAAAACACAATATTGCTAAAATTTACATACCTGAACTATACAATCGTATGAATATACGAGGAAAAAACACGTCGAGAAATCAAATTGCGTCGACAAATTATATCAAAACGTACATTTATCAGTAAAGTATACATTTAAAAATGGTTAGGTAAGTACCTCATCCAAAATTAACTTTTCAATATCATAAAAAATGTAGTAAATATTTAAATAACCAAAATTTATTTTTTCACTTTTACACCTAAACATAATTTCCCAAGTTGAACGAATAGGTAAGTAGGTATTGAGTATACTAACAATTACTAACCAATATAAATATACTAAAACGCAATTACTGTTTTTAGGTAAGTACCTAACACCATAAAATACTATTGCCCGTATTCTCATTTTTCTTTGATTACTTTATTTATTAAAACTCCGATTCTAATAATTTTCAAGTATCAGTTCAATATAATTTAAAAATCCTTGAGATTTTGTGTGTCCTATGGTAATGCACTAATGCAAACATTTTTTTTAGACGTTTTAATGTTTTACTATTTTATATAAAAATCAAAACCCCCTTTTTTACAGTTACCTAATTATCATACAATATACCCAAAAAAATTACTGATATTATATAAATGTCTTGGATTGGATCACATAATTTATACAATTATACCATAATATTGTATATTATGATATTAGATAAATATTAAATAATAAATTTATAATTATAACATTTATACAACGTATTTAAAATTAATAATAATAAATAATAATTTATATATTATATTATATATATATATATCATAGAAGATAGTAATAATATAGTAGTATTAATAAAAAATTAAAAAATATATATTATATATTGATCAAGGTAAGTCAACCTGATTATGATAAATGATAATGTATTTGTTGATAACAACAAAATTATAATTGATAATGGTGAATGGTGATGTTTTAATCGAATTAATCGATATCAACTATAGACTACATGGTGCAAACTGCAAACCGGCTCACAGACATTTTATCCATGGTTGTATTATGACGAGCTTAAATCATATATTTATGATTTAAGCCCGTGAGTAAAAATGTCAGTCGTTCTCACTTCTCAGTTCTCACTACGTTTCGACAACGTATTGACGTATCGATAAGTATATTAGTGTGAGTGTCATAATATTCTGTGATGTGACTGGTGTCAACTGTCGTCGGACTACGATTGATAGATGCAAATAATTCGTTATGGTTGTGATGGGAGTAAGTGAAATTAAATTGTCAATCTGCTGATTGCAAATGACATTTTTTAAATAACGAATTTTTTGCTCTGCGTGAATACCTGCAACTAGTGGTCGTTATAGGTACCTCATTAGTGTCTACGCAAATCATTGGCCCTAATCGACTGCGATGATGTATTACCAAATTTTGATCTATATATCGTACACCATTCTGGTCAATATTTTTGTATCATATGTGCTTGCCGACTACTTTTTGAACGTAATTTTAGACAAGTACGCGGGATATGAGCACGTCAAAACTCAATATTTCGATCACATTGTCGGTACGTAAATAATTAAATAATTAAATATTTTTTGACAAAAGATGAAAGTGTAACTATAGTACAAGTGTTGGTAAAAATATATTATGCAGCCACATACATAATAATGATTTAATATATTATGCACAATAGTCAATAGATGTATAATAAAAAATAAGTATTAAGTAAATACTCTAGTTAAAGTTGTTAAAAAAGATTCGATCCTTATGTTGGCAATTCGTACCTACCATCTTAACAAGGAACCATTGACTCTGGACTCATAATATAGTTAGTGGGACTCGTAGGGCATGACTCTTAGGTATGAGAAAAAAAGAGGTGATGCCATAGATACCAGAATAATAAGAATATGGTATTTTGATATTAGGATAATAAAATTAGAATCGACAACGGATTGAACGGATATAAGAGATGTAAGACACTCTGCTGCGTAATGCGTAGCTATTGGATCAACCATCGAGTATCGACTTCAAGAAAGTTGGCATTGGAATCATTGGATTGATGCCATGCGAAGTCATCATCGTTTATCTAATACGATTGTCTGTTAATCGTGGTAAAACGTGTCACTGGCCACTCTGCTTTAAACAATGATTTGCCGCTCTAAAATTAAATGTTTTATCGTTCTACGTGTAAAAGCCGTTAGCGGAACCATATACATTTAATACAGAAATTATATTATTTTTCAACTTTGCATATATACATATACCTACGGTATACTCATTAAAACCAAAGAAGGTACTTATTTAAAATATTATACATATTTATTATTTTTGAAATTTTGTCTGGGAAACAATATTAAGCGTATACCTATTATAGCCGCTATTACAGCAATTGATCGAAAATACTTATTAAATTGATTAGGTAAATAAACCTAAGTACCTAATTAGTATGAATTCGTGCAATTGATTGTTTATTGAAATTTGGCTTGTTTAATTCTCCAGCGGAAGGGTAGTATTTTAGTATTTATTGTCGATGGGTAATTACTCGCTAAAACGCTCCCCGAAATTCCAGAAAAACTTAAAATCACTTTCAATGTTCTGTGAACGTATTACGTATAACGTACCTATTTATTTATAGAAATTGTAATTGTTATGTAGATGTTGTTATTTTAGTCTAAAATATTATATACTTATTCATGGCATCAACATAACAGCATAATTACTACAGCGATTCTCAATTATTTTTTATCCACGAATAGGTAAAGTTTACAGGTTTTAAAGAGGTTAGGTACCGATCATGTATTTGGCTTTTTTGGTGGTAAGGAGTGTAGTAGACACACTGTTTCGGGGACCCCCTCGGCCAAACCTGTAAATACACCACTGGACCATTGTATGTATGTTTTTTTTTATTTGCTGTCATTTAATAGGAAATTAAATAATTATATATAATTATAACTTTTATGATTATTATTATTATTATTATTGCTAAATAGTTCAATGATGACGACTTTAATGTCTTTTTGAATTAATTGGATCTCAATATCGGACTTCTTATTGTTAACTTTCATTCGAACCATTAGATACCTATTGTACTCATATTTATTCATTTTATACACAGTACCTTAACTTAACCCTAGTCATATCCACAGGCATTATGTTACTTATAGTACATACCACAACTACGCGCATACCGCAATATTGTTTTATGGTTGTATACTTATTTATTACACTTATACCTACAAAAATACTACTTATCTCCCCAATCAATATTGTAAATTGTTCTAAAAAACTAAAGTTGTAACTGTATTTCATAATTCTTACACCGGTTGAATTATTATTAATGGCAGATTAGTAAATCAACTAGTCCAAACGTATAATGTTGGTTTTTTTATTATACCTAAGCAATTTTATATTATAAATTATTCGTAAAAATAAAAACAGATTGTTATTACATTAACGGTAAATTTTAACTTCATTTAATTTTGTCATTTTTATAATAGAAAGACATATTTCATAAAGTCTATTATCCAAATCTGTAGAAAAAAATTGTCATTGCTATTTAAAAATAGCATCAGCTCTTAGTGTGAACACCAAACACATTGTATGCCAATTATTTACCTTTACTAAAATGTATTTATTAAAATTGTAAATATTTTCTACAGCAACTATTTTTTAACATATTTTTTAGTGGGTGGAGGAACAGCAGGTATTGCCGTAGCTTCGCGTTTAGCTGAAAATGAAGCACATACTGTTTTACTAATAGAAGCTGGTCCTAAGGTATCATTATTACATGATATACCTCTTGCCACACCGATGTTCCAAAAGTCACCAATTGATTGGCAGCACCAAACAGTGTCACAATTGAATGCATGCCTTGCAATGAAAAATAATGTATTGAATTCATAATATATTAACATAAAATTAAATTTGTTTTTTGGATGAATTATAAATTCAATTATATTTATACGCAAGCTATAAGCCAATTATGATTCTGTTTTAAGTCTAGTCAATGGCCCGCAGGAAAAGTCTTAGGGGGCAGCAGTCGCATCAATTTCAATATTCATTTAAGAGGGCATATTTCTACTGATTATTTATTGTGGCAATCTGAACAAGATTGGACCAAAGAGGATGTTCTTTACTATTTTAACAAATATGAAAAAGCTGATAAATATAATAGTAAGAATATTTATATTAAAAATATATATTTATATATAACAGTAAGAATTACAAGTAACCTATCACTATGTGTCTTGTTTTGTACAAAAAATTATATACAAATGAGAAAATCCACAACATAAATAATAAAATATAAAACCATTAAAAATAAAAACCCTATAACCAGGATCACCCAATAAAAAACAATTCTTCAGTCATCAACCAACACATGTGACACCAATTGCAACAGCTGTACTTGAGGCGGCCAATGAGTTGGACTTTAATACTTCATTAGATATGAACAACGACGGTTTCCATATTTCTAGACAAAATGGTGGTAGTTTTTCCTTGACACCAGTGTCAATAAGAACAGGGGCTAGATTAAGTGCAGAACACCTATATTTAAAATCAAGAAAAAAAAAAAATTTAGTAGTGCTCACAAATGCTATGGTTACAAAGGTGATTAGGTTTCACAGCATACAATATTTTAAGAAGTTTTATATTACATTAAAATTACTTAATAAATTATTAAAATAGGTGCTGTTTAAAAACAATTACGAAGCAAATGGAGTTATGTACAAGAAGTTTAACCAAGTTTTTAAAGTACATGCACTTAAGTCTGTTGTCATGTCTGCAGGAACATTGAATACCGCAAAAATACTTCTACTGAGTGGTATTGGACCAGCACAACAACTTAAACTATTAAAAGTGAAAAACTTTTATTTTTTAATTTTTTTTTTTTTTTAATTAATATTGTAACTTAAAGATCCCTGTGATTGCGGAATTGGCGGTAGGAGAAAATTTACAAGACCACATTATTACTGGATTGGACATGATAACTTTAGAGAAATCATTGGATTTAACTTTTAAAGATTTTATATCACCAATTAACATTTATAAATACTTTTTCAAAGGAACTGGTAATAGTTACCCAAATAATTATTTTCTATTTTCTTTGATATAATTAATTTTTAGGCTCATGGACACATCCAGGATGTGAAGCAATTGGTTTATTACAATTACAATCGGATAAAAAAAACTATTCTATATCATCCCCAGATTTGCAATTTATGCTTTTACCTTATGGAATATCATCAGATGCAGGAGCAGCATACTTCAATCACTTGAATTTAAAAAATGAGGTATGTATAATACTATAAACATTAAATAATCTAAAACAAGTAAAATTAAAATATTAATTTTATTGAATGATTTAAGATTTGGAATGAATATTTCCAACCTCTAGTGGGAAGACAGGTCATTTCATTAGCACCAGTGCTATTGCATCCTCAAAGCAGAGGATATGTGAAGTTAGACATTAATCGTGAAATTTTTATTCAACCAAATTATTTACAAAATCCACATGACGTTAATGTTTTGGTTCAAGGAATGAAATTGGTGAACAAATTTGTAAAAACCAAATCATTATCAAAACTTGGCGCTATGTTTAACACTAAAAACTTTCCTGGTTGTGAAAAATATAATTTTGGATCAGACCATTATTGGGAATGTTACATTAGGCATATGACATTAACATCTTATCATCCTGTTGGAACATGTAAAATGGGAAGTATTCATAGTAAAAGTGTAGTGGATCATTCATTGAGGTAAGGAGTTTATCCACTCAATGTAAATTATAATTAAAATAGCTTTTATATGTCAATAATTATTTTTATTTGTGTTATAGAGTGCATAAATTAAATAAATTATATGTGATTGATGCATCAATAATGCCTTCTATGCCAAGTGGGAATATAAACGCTGTTGTAGCAATGATAGCTGAGAAAGGAGCTGATCTCATAAAAAAACATTGTTTTCAAAGAACCCAAAAATGTCAAATCACAGATTTCTTATATAAAGGTTATAATTATTAAAATATTATTTTGATTTAATTGTTAGTGTTGTAATTGTTCATAATTTTATATGTACTCGTAATTATTTTACTTATTAGTTAAAATAATAAATTTTATTTTTACCTTTTTGTAACATTGGAAAATTATTGTTCAGAAGTTTCAACAGGTTTTCCACGTTTTTTGTGTCGCCAACTCATACCATTATTTTGGCGTCTTGGTACTTTTTGTAAGCTACTGAATGCGATTGGCTGATCATTTTCATATAGCCAGTTAGGCAAATCAGAAAATTCTGTACGTGGAAAATGGTAACATCTTGTATAGTATTTAACAAACGTGATTTCGTTTGATAAACATTGCATAGCTGTCCATGTATGATACACTAATAGTGGAAATTTGGTAGTCCAATATTCTAAAAATGTATCAGGAATATCACCAAATAACTTCTGTGTATCTTGAGATAGTTCCCGAAAATGATGTTTCTATAACATAAAAAAATAAGTAGATAAAATAAAAATATGTACCTTTATACTTCAGTTGACTAACTTTATTTCGAAATGCTCTTAACAAATCTCTAATGCTCCCAGTTCTATACGTCCGGTATTTTCTTAATTCAGAAGTTATTTCTTGATCAATTTTATCATGCCACCCATCTTGTCCGATCACTCCATCACCGCCTTTTTCAAGCTCTAGCATTACAGGACTCGTTGAATGTTCCTTTTCCACACGATCGCTAACATCCTAAAAAATTGCATACATAGAATTCCCTAGCATGCATATAAGTTTTTAATAAATAAACACCTGAAGAAAGGATAGCAATGTAGAGCTATCCCAGAATGCTGGATAATAACGAACAGCTGTAGCAGTGGGTCTATCTTCTGGATTTCGACTTATCATCAGAGATATCAAACGTTTCCAAATTTCATTTTCATTTAATGCATCGAGACTAAATTATATGCTTATATGTTAGTTTGCATTACATTATTTATCAATAAATATCTAAATTTTTTTACCAAGGGATTTGACGTTTATCCAATATTCTAGCTTGACGCCACAATGAATCACCAAATGGATGTTTTCCTTGACTGAGAATATAGTAAAACAGACAGCCCATTGAGAAAATGTCTATAGATTTAGTCTTAAAAAGAAATTAAAATCATTTGTAATTAAAATAAAATACAATAAGGTACCTAAGTAAATTATTCTTACTACAGATGCGTTTGTAACAAACATTTCTGGTGCTATCCAGCCATCAGTTCCAGTGATGCCTGAACGTTTTGAAAAAGACATTTTTCCACCCTGTAGTTTTTTGCATAACCCAAAATCACTTATCAATGCTCGAACGCTACTAAAACTACCATTTCCACGTGTTGGTATTGACAATAATACATTGTGGGGTTTTATGTCCCTGTGAACTATTTAATTATACTAATTAATATTAAACATCATAATACTAAAATAGTTACTTGATTATAATAATTATAAATATTACCTATTCCAAGGGAATGAAGGTGCTGCAGACCTTTAATTGACTGACATAAAATTTCTTTTGGACTAATTTCATTTTTTAGTACATTTTTTTCTACATAGTCCTACATATACATTATACATTTAACATTTTTAATTAATTAAAAAATAAAAAATAGAAGTAAATTATAAACTTACTTGTAATGTAGCAGCACATAATTCTAGTGCAATATATCGAAATTGTTTATCTTGTTCTGTACAATAATAACGAACAACGTTAGGATGATAATCAGATTCTCGAAGAATATGAACTTCTCTTTCACCAGCAATGAAGCACTCTGGCAACAATCGTTTGACAGCTACAGGCCTACTTTCAAACTCCCCTCTACAAAATTTTTAATCTGTGTTAAAAAAATAACTACTCAATACAACACATGAGTAAAATAATTACTTAAATACTGATGTTCCTTCACATCCTTTTCCTAGAATTGCATCTGTACGAAAAATAATTTTTCCAATACAAAAACTACCATCAGGCAATTCTTCAACTATTTGAGATGAACTAATATTGGAATGATTTGAACCTCTTGAACTTCCCTGAGAACTGTTATGACTATTATTTGATTTATTCTTCAAACCTTTCATCTGAAAGTATTTTTAAATGTTTTAACAAATAAAATGAATTTGAGATCAAAAATAATAGTCTTACTTCTTTTCGTAAATACCAGAACATTAAACTCATCAAAAGTGTTATCCCAACCATGAATAATTTAATTCCAGCGTTGTCTCCAAGTATTTGAACAATAAGCCACGAGTCTATGGATTGAGGAGTCTGAGTAGATATTGTCTTTGTTTGTTTACTGCTGTAGTTATATCCACTCATATTGTGATAGTAAATTATTGAATCGGTGTTCCCTGTTATTCTCGGTGTGCCTGTATTTAATTCTTGATTCAGCTGGTAGTGTCCTACAAAAAAGATGATTTATGTTGTATAAACATTTGGTAAAACAGAATAATTATTTATTTGCATTACCCAATAAGATTGTGTGGTTTTCAACATTTTTAGGTTCTACATTATATTCATTACCACTATAATATGGCAATACTGAAAAAGAAGTTTTGTCTAAAAGAACAATTAATCCTCTATCTACTAATGGATTAACTTCACCAGTATCTGCAATTGCTGGTAATGCATATAATCCAGTATTAATATGATGTCCAATGTAAAGTGTATGGCTATAAATCAGTTATTTAAAATATTTTATTAAACATCATTGTTAATTTTTAAAATTATTAATAACAATTAAAAGTAAATTATTAGAGAATTGTTATGATCAATAAAATTAGACATAACTATCTATAAATTGATAATTGTAAAGACATAGGTATTTATTAAAATTAAATAATTTATAATTTACTTACAAATAACTAACAGAATTAGGATCTTTTGATGATAATGCAATGTTTGAAATCAAATGCTTTATGGAGTCTTTAGCTATGTTTGTTAATGGTAATGACAGTAGACTTTCTCCATCATGTTGATAAACTCCAATAACAGGTGAATCAAATTCTCTTTCCCAGAGTAAATCATGATAATTAATTGGAGGAGATTTTTCAAATTTATCTTTAGAATTAAGAAAAACTGCAAAATTACCAGACGAACTAGCGGCAAAATATGTCAAACCTATTTAATAATCAAATTACAGAATTATTTGAAATTTAACAAATAGTTAATTAAAACTAAATACCATGATTATAATTCTGTTCATCAGTCATAGTCTTAGAGTTGTAACTGAAAAACGTTACATTCCATTGGCGTTGGTCACTACTCAAACTGTCAACCATCATGACACTATATTCTAGTTAAAAATTAAAAATTAAAATTAAATAAATTGATGAAACAATAAGAATACATACCAGATTTACTCAATAGTATAGATTTTGAAGCAATCGCTGTGCATATTTCACCTTGCTTTTCAAAATTCATAAACGGGTGTTTTTCACCAGTATTCCAATCAATAAAGTACCAACTATCAATTTTTTTGCCTTTAAGTAATATACCATAATTATAATAGTTCTTTAAAAAATAAAATAAATCTTATTTAAGTATAGTACTATTTGCCAGAAAATAATATTCCATCCTGACTTCTACATGGTGAGTTAGCTACTAATTGAGGGATAGTTACATCCAACTTTTTGATTCCTACTTTATCCTTATTATGTAGTAAATATAGAGAACCATCTCTAGGATCTGGCAAAAATAATGGTCTGTAACAAGTATAAACTAAGTCTTATAATGTTTATATAAAAAATAATAATGACAAAATATTATATACAAAACAAAATAACCAAATACATACGTGAGGGCATCTTTAATATTTGATGGAACTTTGACAGGTGGATCTAATAACAAAAAAAAAAAAGAGAATGAAATGGGTAATATATTTAAGTATACACAAACAAGTGTATAAAATCTATCATATACCATCGCGAAACTTCCATAAGGTTTTGCCAGACCTTTGGTCGACAGCGATGAAAAAACCATCAAGTGTGGACAGAAATATGATTCCTTCGTACTGCAAAACATTAGTTTCAGCCAAACTCTTGTCGTCCTAAAACAAAATAAACGCTTTATTGTATCTAGGGGGTGACACGGTAAGCGAATACACACCTTCGGATGATTGAGGTCATGGGAATCAACTGAAAGCAGCCCGATCAAAAGTGGGATGGCCAACAGCACCACCCGGATGGCCAATGCCATTTCGTAATCAAAAATTGTGTTTTACAGTTCACAGCTACATCAACCACGAGTCGTAAGCGCTTCACCATCGGTGCACGATCCAACGTTCGGTCGGTTCCATTTGAGAAAACTGTTTGTGTCGTTGGCGGTGTTTAGTGTCTGAATGGGAACGATAACTATGACATTTTATGAACAAACGAGACGATAAACATTAAACACTAAACAGAAATTCAGCGCAAAAGTTTCGACAATAATAATAATAATAATATTGAAAATCGAGTAGATAAGAGATTCGCTGATAATGTCGGTCGGTGGTTCACCGATCGCAGTGACGCCAGATAAGCAACAAACTATAGCGTGACTATAGTTATTTATAATTATTTTTTTTAAATCAATTTTATACACTTTTTAGGAGGGCTCGGATTTTAAAGCATAATAAATAAATAAATAGCAAAAAAAGCACAAAATTATTTTAAAAAATCAAAAAGAAATTTAATATTTATTTTAAAAAAAAGCATGACAAAAAATTAACATGAACTAGTTATAAAGCTGAACAAGAAAAATTAAAAAAAAAATTAACTACTATGTATTTTGCTAGATTTGTAGTTGTGAAACTGACTCTATTGTCCGACAGAATGTTTTTGTACATAGAAAACACACGCTCTACATCCACTGAAGTGATCGGCGCATAGGTACTTTATACAAGAAGTTTCGTTTCAATCAAACTCATGATAATTAATTTCGTTTGATGAAACGCCACACATAATATTATATTTTACACAATATATTATTAATTAATAATGTCTAGTAATTGTTTCCAGCCTTTGTTTATTTATAAGAAAACGATTTAGTTTATCCGAAATTACAATTGCAATATTTCCGTCAACTTCATTCAACTTCTTTTCTACATCTAAGTCGATATTTATACATTTTGTCAACGATTCGCCTAAAATCATACATACAGTTTATTTTTATGATATTAAATTGATTATTGCTATGTTAAAAGTTACCTTCTCTCTTTAATATTTTTATAATGACTGGTAGAAATCCAAAATTTGTTGAAATATACACAAGATTTGATCGAAGAGATACATTTTAAAATAGTTTCACTTTATCACTTATACAGTGAAACTTCCGTTAACGGTCACCTCTATAGGACGGTCACCTCTATGTAACGGTCAATTTGTTTGGTCCCGTCGAGTGTTATGGGAAAAATACATTAATACTTCTAAATAGCGGGCACTCTAATTAACGGTCAACATTTAAAAGCACATATATCAAATGGAAAATTATTATTTCGAAATTATTTTTGACAGTTTATCTTAACGAGCTTAATTTATAATGTCGATAAGGCGATAACAATTGTCTGTGACTGTGTATTTTGTCATTTGTGTTCAGTGTATGTTTAAAACGTTTCGAAGTACGTACCTATAATTTCAATGGCATCCAAACGAAAACATCTAACTTTAACAGAAAAAATCAAATTGTTAGATTTTTACCAAAAAGAAAATGTGAGTGCACGTACTCTTGCAGATAAATTTGGAATAGGAAGAACTCAAGCCACCGACTTAATAAAAAACAGAGAAACGATTTTAAAATTATGGAAATCCCACGGTAATGATCAAATGAAAACTACAAAACGTCGTAAAACCGAATCAGGCAATATCAACGAAGTTGTATACGAATGGTTTTGTGCAGCCCGTGCTAAAAATATTCCAATCAGTGGACCAATACTTAAAGAAAAGGCTTTACAAGTAAGTAAAGAATTTGAATGTGAAAATTTTAAAGCGTCAAATGGTTGGCTTGATAAATTTAAATCACGCTACAATATTTCTTTTAAAGTGGTTTGCGGCGAGAGTAAATCGGTTGATACGGAAACTGTGGACGAATGGCGTATAAAAGTCAAACAATTAATTTCTTCTTATGAGCCACGAAATATTTACAATGCAGATGAAACAGGATTATTTTATAAAATTCTTCCTAATAAAACATTAAGTTTTAAAAATGAAATTTGTACTTCTGGGAAAAAGTCTAAAGAAAGATTGACGGTCATGTTATGCGTTAATTTAATAGGTGAATTTGAAAAGCCACTAATCATAGGTAAATCTAAGAAACCTCGTTGTTTTAAGAATGTGGACATAAAACGCTTAGACCTACACTGGGAGGCAAATAAAAAAGCATGGATGACACGATGTATAATGACTGAGTGGTTAATGTGGTTTGATGAAAAAATGAAAAAACAAAAGCGTAAAATTATTTTGTTTTTAGATAATGCAACATCACATCCTGATTTAAAACTACAAAACATAAACTTAATATTTTTACCACCAAATACGACGTCACACTGTCAGCCTTTAGATCAAGGTATAATTCAAAATTTTAAAGTTATTTACCGACAAATGATACTTAGGCGAATATTATCACAGATAGACGTAGTAAAAGATGCTGATGAACTTGCAAAAAGCATTACTGTATTAGACGCTTTGATATGGATTAAACAGTCTGTAAAGCAAATAACTGGTAGTTGTGTTACTAAATGTTTTAAAAAATCCGGTTTTATTTTGGAAAATTTGCCTGTAGATTTAGATAACACAGATCTTGAAAACGAAATAATTGTTGGTGAACAATTAGTTAATATGCTGCCAACTCATATGCAAGGTGAAGAGTTTTTTTTGGTCGACAAAAATCTAAGAACTGAAGAAGATAGTACTGATATCAAGTCATTCATAATAACAGATAATGACGAAGAGGAAACACATGAAGAAACTGAAGAAACTGAAAAAACTGAAGAACCCAAGTACACTGTATCAAACTATTCTGAGGTTTTAACTCAAATACAACAATTATCAGCTTTCACTCTTCAAAAAGGTGACGTAGATGGTTATGACATGTTAAAAACCGCAGAAATTTATTTTGAAAAAAAATGTTCAAATAATCAAATGAATTTAAAACAAACTAATATAACTCAATTTTTTTAATTTTAATATGTACCTATTTATAAAAGCTTATGAGATTTTTTTTAATTTTAAACTGTACCTACCTACCTACTTTATTTCGTAAATCATAAATACAATTTTTAATACCCATATTCATATGCGTTATTTTAATATTGGTGTTTTATTTTTAAAATTTGTATGACCTCTATATAGCGGTCACCTAGAAGGTCTTGAACTTCTGTTAACGGTCACCTATGTAGGACGGGCACCTCTAAATAGCAGTCATTATTTACAGTCCCTTCAGTGACCGCTATATGGAAGTTCTACTGTATATATAAAAAAAAGCAGCATATGCTTTAAAATCCGAGCCCTATAACTTTTCAGTAATTACGTTATTACACAGTGCGTCCCATAAGTTTTGAGACAACCATTCTAAAATTTGTCCTAGTATCTAGATAATTATGAAATTCTGGGAAGTTATTACGATAACACTTATGATTATTCATATAAAGGTTCACGTGTATAAGATAATTTCTGGTAGTATAATCGTATCTGTTGTGAGTGTATGTTTGAGATCGCGGTTATAATTTCAATCGCACACACCGCGGCGATTGTCACTCAATTTTTGGCCAAAAAAATGATTCCAGTACTCGACCACCCCCCGTATTCACCAGATTTGAGTCCTCCGGACTATTTCCTGTTCCCAAAGCTGAAGATGGAGCTCAAGGGGCAGCATTTTTCCACCATTGAAACGATTCAAGAAGTGGTGACCCAAAAGTTGAAGAACATTCCTACAGCTGACTTCTTACGGGCCATGGAAAAATTGGGCGATCGTGCAAAGTGTATAGAATGTAATGGTGACTATTTTGAATAAAAAATTGCTTAAAACATTTTTTTTGTAACATCAGTAACCTTAGTCTCAAAACTTATGGGACGCACTGTGTATGTATTCGTTCTCCAGCGGTTAATTATTAATGTCTGTGGAAAAGTGAACTGTTTCGTACTTTTTTTTTTGACGCTTCAAAGAAATTGACATAGGTTTAATTAAGGTAAACTCCTATTTCACAGATCGATTAATTCCCAAATATTTTTTTTTTATTCTGCTCTTTAGTCTTTAGCCGATCAACCGTCATAAACGATACGTGTACTCCACAAATTTCATCTTTAAAGTTAAATTTATTGTGATTTGTCTGCCATCTGCATATTTTACTGAAATAAATACCAAAACCAAACAGATAAAGTTTTAAACGGCTTGGAGTGGGATAATGGAATCTAAATTTCCGTCGCTGCGCCGGCCGATTGCCTATTGTCAGCCGGACTACAACGGCGTAAATTGAACCCAATTTCTGGTGGTGCAGAGGCATATATTCTCAATCTATAATTTCCGACATACCAATAATCCAACTTCCTACGTAAAATCCTTCCTAATAAACTATATATTTTCTCATATATTTCTTTAAATAATAAATACATTTTGAATTATTTATAGTAATTTATTTGGTAACCACAGAATTATGCGATTACTATAGATAATAATCTAATTATCTATGGCGGTTACACAATTTTAGAATATAGATAGGGATAATAATTTAATTGCTAAGGTCTAATACATGCACGAAAATTACAATTTTGTACCTGTTTATGTATATATTATACAAGAAAAGATAGTTAAAAAATTAAAAATAATATCATAAGTATACACATTTTATTTCAATGATTTTCTGGTGGTGCAAAGGTATGTCTTTGCACCGACATATTTTAGATGTGGTGGTGCAAGTGCTACATTTACACCATCCAGTTAACGCCACTGAACCGGAGTACGATAACCGAAATTTACCATTTTATGTTTAATTTAAATCCCGAACACGTAAATAGCCATATAATGCATAATAAACATTATTTATCGAGCTTCATCAGTGTATACGAATCTGTGCGTAATAATTGTGTAAATGATAGGTGACGAAGGACGTCTTATTTTTATCGATATATTATATCATCGAAATTGAATTATAGTAATTATTATAATAATTATTTAGTATTTCTATAATCAATAGCCATTATCCATACCTACAGGTTGTAGTCTGTATTTGTTATAGTATTTTGTATGCATTTAAGTTTGTGTGAAAGTATTACGTGAAAGATTGTAGGTATGTCTGTAATTATCAATGTTTTTATTTATTCATGAATAAATTAATACCCACTTAGAAAATAGTAAATGTAATGAGTTTTTGTTTATTGAATTCATGATAGGGTTTAGGTATATTTTGTCTTAACGTTAAGTTTTCATTATCATAAATATGAACTATGTCGGA